CCCTCTCTCTCTCTCTCTCTCTCTCTCTCTCTCTCTCTCTCTCTCTCTCTCTCTCTCTCTCTCTCTCTTCGTCATTCGGTGTTAGGATGCGTACCGTTGCCCTGGTCCTCCGCGCGGAGCGTTCGAGAGATCGAGGTTTCGATCCGTCTGAGCTCGTTCGTTCCTCCGTCTTGCACCATCTGAACCTTCTTCCGCCCTGGACCTTCATATGTCCTGCACAATCTGCATGTACGTCCACGTGGCACGATCTTCCTACACGTCCACGTGGCACGATCTGCCTATCTGCCTATATGTTCACGTGGCACGATCTGCCTATACGTCCACGTGGAATGATCTGCCTATACGGCCACGTGGCACGATCTTCCTTTACGTCCACGTGGCACGATCTGCCTATACGTCCACGTGGCACGATCTGCCTATACGTCCACGTGGCAAGACCTGCGTATACGTCTACGTGGCACGACCTGCCTATACGTCCACGAGGCACGATCTGCCTATACGTCGACGTGGCAAGATCTGCCTGTACGTCCAGGTGGCACGATCTGCATGTACGTCCACGTGGCACGATCTGCATGTATGCCCACGTGGCATGATCTGCCTTCATGTCCGCGTGGCACGATCTATATCTTCCAATTGAACTCTTGGTTCCTCTTCCCCCTTTTTCCTCGTTCCCCCTTCTCTTCATTCCGCCTTCTCCTCCTCCTCCCTCCCCCTGCCCTACCTCCCCCTTTCCTTTCTCTCACATATGTAGTCACACCTGCAGGAAACAATTACTACTATGTCCCATCCTCTCCGACGACAAGTCATAGCTGTCTGCATGGTCAGCAAATCTCTGAGTCTTCTCTCCCTACCGTCTTGACCTTGCCGCCGTCTTTGCGTAATCCTCATTTAGTTGCCCGTCTATTTGTATCCAATGCACCGAGGTACGCCGCACCACTCACCAAATGCAGAAAAGACAAATATTATGGCGGTGTATATTTCCGTGTTCTGGCCGAAGATTCATTCTCCTTTTGGACATTTGGTAAGTGGTGCGGCGAGACCCATCATCTTGCGTCTTTTGAGCGTATCTGGAGGCCTGTTATCTTTTTTTCTTTCTTTTTT